CCATGCCTTCAGCAACACACACACACAAAATGCTTTCTTGCTTTTCAACCACTTTTTGTTGCAAATACTTTCCTTCTACCTAACGCAAATCAAGATGCCCTTAAGGTCTCAAATGACGATACCCATCTAGCAAATTAATCGAAACCATGAACCTCCATGTTGCAACCAAATATTTAAATACTTTCCAACAAAAAGCACATACAACAAAGTCATTAAAGGGGTAGTTAACTTTAAAATTAGTTCTCATTTTTTGAAATTATTAAGTACATAATGGTCAGATTTTTGTAAAGTAATGTACATTTTTAAGTATCTAATTAGAGTTTATTGAATGCAGTCTTACTTGATTACAGCTAAATTAATGCAGCCTTCCAACATGAAGTGTCCCCACTTAAGGATTAGATGAGACTTAGGCCATGAGTGACCTGGGTGACAGCTACCTTTATCAAACTCTTTCCTGAGCCCCAATGGTTACATCAGCTTTCTATTTTCCAATTATTAGGAGCACAAATTTTTCATTTTTGCTAAGTAAACCTGACATTCCAATGTCAACAGCAAGATATTCCTTATGTGAGCTCAAAAAAGAAGAGAAATATGAAGACTATTTTGAAGGCCTGGAGTTCCCAGAAAGGAAAAAAGGACCACTGTCTATTTAGCCAGAAACTAAACTCAAAAAGAGTTAGTTGTAGTTGTCAAACAACCAGAGGAACAAAGAAACATGTCACAGTTTCATTTTCACTAAGAGGAGGTATAAAAAGGAACAGGTTTATACTAAGCCAAAAGGATTCAGTATACAAACCAATTGACAAGAACTTCTTACTTTAAAAAAGACATAGCAAGAGAGACTATTTTTCCAGAGATTTTTAAGGAAAAGCAAATAGGCCACCTTTGGGGAATGTTTCAAAGTAGTTATAAATTCACCCATGTATAAGATACGCCTTTCCTGCAGATAGCAGTTCAAGCTGCCATAGCATGTTTATGACTCCTTTTGCTTGTTTGCTTAGGAAGTCCTTTATCCACCCATACCCCAAATGTCAACTGTACTGTACATTTGCATTTTTCACATTTATTCCTCTCACCTAGTTAGGATTTATCTCACTACAATGGTGTGAGAAAGGTCTTGACCTTTTCCCCCCAGAAGGTTTGTCAATTACCCTAGCGATCACTGATATAGTTCTTGTATTCAGACTTAGCCAGGGAATACCTGGGCATTTCCATTTATTTCCACCTGAAGTCCCTAACTCACCTTCATTCCAACAATCACGGTAGGCAGCAATCGTTATATTTGGGAGTGGGTCAACATCATTACATCTTACAAAAACTCCAGTCATAAGCCCTGGAAGCAGACAGCACCACCAGAAAGAACTCTGGACTAATAGGGACAAAGGCCCTCTGTCGGGTCAAGCACACCCAACAGGCATCAAAAGAACTGTCTTCCCTTAAGAATTACCATGGGATAAAGACCTTGAGATAACCTGAAGAAAATAAGGGCCGAGAAGTAACAAGGCAAAGATGGCACACAGCACTAGGGCCTCCTAAAAATCACTAGACAAAAGAGCCAATGAATGGAAAACCTAACTTTATGGAGACTTTGAGGTTAAAAAACACAGTAGGAGAGATCTCAACTTACTGAGTTAGCTCATCTAGTGCATAATCAATCTAGAGAATGTCAACAACATTTTTTAGATTTAACATTTAGGAGAAAAGGAACAACAAAGAGATACTGCCTCAGTCTTCTAGCCTACCAGCAAATAAATCAGGAGTGGCAAGCTCAACTGCCTACAGGAACAGAAAAATGGGATAAAAAAGTGAAGGGAGTCAAGCAAACCTGGCTTCAGAGTCTGAAAAGCAATGAGGATATTAGAACCTTGGCAAACTGAAGTTCATGTCCCTGAAATACATGCTTCTAGAGGAGGCACTCACTATCCAGCTGCAGCCGTTTGTGCCACTGAAAACTCAAGCCCAGACCTGTCAGATCTTCTGATTTTTCTGAAAATAGCCAGAAATATGAATTCTTATGTGAATCTCCTCTTTCTCGTTTCTTTTGGAGACAGAGTCTCACTATGTCACCCTCGGAAGAGTGCCGTGTAGTCACAGCTCACAGCAACCTCCAACCCTTGGGCTTAAGTGATTCTCTTGCCTCAGCCTCCCAAGTCCGGCACAACACCCAGCTATTTCTTTGTTGCAGTTGTCATTGCTGTTTAGCAGGCCAGGACCAGGTTCAAACCCGCCAGCCTCAGCATATGTGGCTGGCGCCCTAACCACCAAATCTCCTAAGGCTTGGCTATTTAATTAAATTTCATTTTTAAGACACACAGGTCAAACCAGACTTATTTCTGGTGCATCAGTGGGGGTCCTCAGCCCAACAGTGTGGGCTTTCAGATTATACAACCTACCAATTACTCAATTTTCCAAAACACCCTACCCTGCTCCCATGCCCATCTGTGCTTTTCTCCCTACTTGCCTCACCATGCCACATTATCAGATGCTACACAACATGATGCACTCCAGGCGCAGAGCAAGTCAAGAGTGCTACTCAATCTCATTCACCCCATTCAAGAGTCAGCAAGTTCTTATCTTCCTATAGGGAAGACCAATTACTAGGGAGAGTTACACTTCTAGGTCAGACTCTTGAGCCAAATTAAATAATTTTAAAGGTAAGTAGAGAATAAGTCTTATATCTCCAAAAATGTCATATTTTTTCTTTTTTAAGAACTTTTAGATGTCCTGGTTCATGTATTAATAATGACTAACTGTACTTACACAGCTTTGGAATTGAGCCCAACCATGCTGGAAGCAAAGGAAAAACACCTCAAAAGAAGTTCATTAAATAAACTGAAAACCACCTTCACTGAAAATGCTGTAGAATGTAGAATTTTTAGCTTCTACACAAAGTAAACTATTACTTTAAACAGTTTACCAAATGACATTCTATTCCAATCAAAATTAAGTTAGAAGTTTAAGGGATGAGTGAACCTACTGGGATCTAGATATTTACCTTTTCCCACAGGCTCGGACAGGACTACTCTATTAGGTAATCTTCGTTAATCATATAAACAAACTATATATAGTCTTCTATAATCTAGAAGACCTTCTTTCACTATGAAAGGATATAAAAAAAATAGTTTTCAGTACCGGTTGTTTTAAGTATATTCACCTGAACAGGACTGGATAAGGCAAGGTTTATATACCTTTACTGTCCACATGCGATAGTCTATTCCTGCTGATACCGGACAGCAATAAATTCTCCCCCTCTGCCCATCCTTCTTCCCCACTAAACCTTCTAAAGATGATACTGCAGAGAACAGCAGGCTCTAATATCTGACACCAGCTTTAATTCCTAGCTGTAATTAAAATTAAAAACTGCAATATAATATACCAGTAACATTATAAATATAACTGACACAAACTGAATGTTTAAAAAATTTTTCAAATCAGATTTTACTATAAAAAATTATAAAAATGGAAACAGAAAAAAATCTAAGAAGTGATTTTTAATCCACTCTTAGAAGTCTTCTTTTACCAGTGGCACAATGACAGTAAGTAGCTACAATGGGAGTCTACTCAATTAGTCCACAGACATGCCAAGCAATGACAAATTTCATCACAAGACATGATGTTCCTAAGTGCAGAAGCCCAAGTACAATACTCCTTGGGTGGAAACAAAGTACCAAGAAGCCCCGCGGTCTCAAACCCAGTAATAAGCCTAATCCCCTCATGTGTTCCCAATATTGGTCTGCCTGAATCACTTAATCTTATGTACATGATTTACAATTGTTTTGTTTTGTTTGCTATTATCACAGAACCTACAAAAGCTTAAACTCTAAAGTACTGTGCCATGAAATCAAATAACTTATTCATAATTGCTGATATTTTGTTAGGATATTATGGCAGCATCTATATTTTCCAAAAATGAGTCAGATAGAAAGGAGAAGGAAGAAAATCGAAGGGAAAATAAGGGAAGTGACAAAAGGGAAAGAGAAGGATGCTTAAACTCCACAATATTCAGCAACAAGATTATCATAAGTCCTGCGAATTTACATAATGGAGTATGATACCCATGTAATAATTTGGTTAAAGCAAACCTTTAGACGAAACAACAATAGCACTTACTGAACAAGTATAATAGCCAACAGGAAAATCTTATTTCCAAGAAGAAAGGAACAATTCAGAAAGACTAATAGCAATAATGTTGATTTTTTTTCCTCTGTACCATATAAATTCTAAAGTATAAATCTACACATGAGGAATAATGACAAGTTTTAGTGAATAATGTGACTATACTGATTTTACATGTCTCAAGAAATAATTCTAAAAAACCTGTTACTTTTATAAATATAAATTAGATTTCTAAATGAAAATGTACCTCCGGCTCGGCACCTGTGGCTCAAGTAGCTAAGGCGCCAGCCACATACACTTGAGCTGGCAGGTTCGAATCCAGCCCATGCCCGCCAAGCAACAATGATGGCTGCAACCAAAAAATAGACAGACATTGTGGCGGGCACCTGTAGTCCCAGCTACTTGGGCGGCAGAGGCAGGAGAATCACTTGAGCCCAGGAATTGGAGGTTGCTGTAAGCTATGATGACACAGCACTCTACCCAGGGCGACAGCTTGAGGCTCTGTCTCAGAAAAAAAAAAAAAAATGCACTTCCTACACTTGAGTATTCATGAAGTCATATCCAGAATCAAGTTAGCCATCAACAGTAAATGTCAAATTTACATTCTTCAATATCAATAAAGTTATAACATTTTGTACAAACATGGCATGCAACATATTATTCTTTCTTAAGAAATAAAAACTACTGACCTTAGAGTTTCATAACAGAACTTAACCATTTTCTTTTATTTCTTCATGGAGCAAGACTCCAGCTATAGCAAGCATGCTATCAGTTTTTACTTTAAAAATTCTATGAATTCTGACTAATAAAAGTCTCCAGACAATGAAAATAAAATTTTCAATATCAATAATGCAGATACATACATTCATTGTATTCCAACTTACCTAATACGCTTACAAAAGCATCAAAAAGATGAAATGTAAGCAGAGGCTCTTTCAAGTGACCATAGTAATCTGCTATAGTTTTAAAGACATCTTTTTCAAATCCTAAGTACATGGGCTGCTTCAAATCAGAACAGTTGGGCCCTATTTTTGGAAAAAAAGAGAGAGAAAGATAAATAGTAATGGAGCAATTACCTCTGAGTATTACTCTCTGTGAATACACGTGGCATATACATCTGGGTATTCAAGATATACAAAAAAATTTTCTTTTTTTTTTTTTGTTGTTTTCCTCACTTTTTTTTTCCTTTTTTTTTTAATTGAATGATAACTATGTACATTAATGCACTTCTGGGGCATAGTATGGGGTTTTCACACACAATCCGAAATACTTCCATCAAACTGGTTAACATAGCCTTCATGTCATGTTTTTAGTTATTGTTTTAAAACGTTCACATTCTACTCTTAGATTCACTTGTACCCTTGTAAGATAAACCTCAGAAGTGATCCCTCCAATACCCCTCCCTCCACCCATTCCCACCCTCCCCTCTCCCTCCCCCCTCCCCATATTCTTAGGCTGTTATTAGGTTATAGCTTTCATATAAAAGGTATAAATTAGTTTCATAACAGGGGTG